TGTTGCGGGGGGCCTTACCCTGGATGGAAGAAATTTGAAATAAAAATCAAGGCGGGAGGGGACAGAAAAAGGGAGAAAAAGAGATGAGAGGGGATGGAAATCCCCAATTTGCTACAAACAAACAAACAAAACAACCAAACTTAAATTAACTCCCTCCCACTGTTGGTGGTTTGTCAGTTCGGAGCTGATGAGTGCTTTGCCATCCCCCGAAAAATTTCCCCTGAGAAAAGTGGATAGCCTCCCTCGAAAAATCCTGGCGACAAAAAGTTTCATAGCGTTTGAGTTTCGCTACATGTGTGAAGAACATTTGTCTATTTGTGATATGTCTATTCCTGGTAGAGATATTTCTATTAAAAATAGAGATAACTCTATTTCGGGAATAAATGTTAACTTTGCACGTCTAGGAATTAAATGTTAACTTTGCTCGCCATACATTTACAGCACCACTCGAAAATTTTTAAATGAACTCGAAGTATATGTACATGAAGTGTACAATGTGCAGTGTATGTATGTACCAAATGCCGCGCCCTGCGTTGCGCATGCGAAGGTCGCGTCGGGCTCCGGCGCGGCGCAGCCGGTGCCGGATCGAAACGGAAACTTCCGCTTGCAAGTCTAGTTTACGCATGGAATTCGGAGTGACTGTGTCGGTGAGTTTGTCAGAATTGATGAAAACAGTTCTCTCGCAAGTGGGGCTTGTCTTTTTGTGCAGATGTCTTCACAGTTTCTAATGTGAATTTAATTTTTCATGTGGTTCAGGCTTCAACCCTGCATCATTTCATGAACAGTAAGGCACCGTTCCTGTTCAGGAACTTGAGGAAGTAGGCCCTAGCATGCCTGGCCCATGCCCACCTCAATTCACACCATGTTCACCAGGTTAACCATTAACACTTAAACCTTACTTAATTTATGCCTGGTTATGGCATTCCTCCATGGACCGAGGTACATGTACTGTAGGTCTACGTGCGTGTACATTTACCTGCGCGCCCATCATGCTCGTGCATGTCAAGGGCAAGGCCGAGGCTGTACCCGGCGCCAGATTGGGCTCATCAATGGTCCGAGTAACTTGGACTCTACAAATCGCCTTTTTAACATTTGGACTTGGTTGGGCGACGGGCGAGTAGTAGAGTCCATACCTTCCACAGGCTTTTAATCCCATTGCATTAATTCATTTCACTCAAAATAACTTGTATCCCGAATCAAAATCCTACAAATTCACCTCCAAAAAGTGCCCAACCATATCCAAATGTTAAAAAAGGCATTTTGTAGAGTCCAAATTATTTGGACTATCCCATAGTATAGGACAGGGTTATTTGCTTGGTCTATAGGCCCATGGAAGAATTGTGATCATATAGTTACCAGGTCCCTTAATTTTGTCACACACTGTGACAACCAATCAGACTTAGGTGGCGAAATTAGGACATTAGGCTGTGACCACAGTTAGGGATTCAACTGTTAGGACTTAAGCACAATCTTGAATCATAGCAAATTTATTATACTCCATGCTTAAGCTTACTTGATTCATGGAGGTAGGATGGTTGATTAGCCTTTGAGGGAAATCCATTGATACAATCAACTCAGGAGGGACTAGGCGGTACAATAAATTGGCACAAAGTCAGGAACACGGTACATATTGAAATATTGCTTAATTGACACCAAGAGCAAGCTTAGGGAAGAGATGATTGATGAGTTGACTATGTTACCTCGTGCAAATTGCAACTAACTGCAGTGCATACATGTAGATTAATACATAAAGTGCAATAGCTACATGTAGCAGGTGGCTGGATTGAGAAGCAGTTTGGGACAGGTGCACATTGCATTTAATTTCCTAGGGTTAGCACACTCTCAAAAATCAAGGAAAACTCTCAAAAATCAAGGAAAACTTCCAATTTATCACTGAACATCATACAAATAAAACATGCTTATGAGGGCAGTGGTAAGACTAGTTTCATTAAGTAACAGATTGAATGTTATATTCCTTGAGGCAACATCAAGTGGAACACTATCTTTGGCACAGTTGCATAATACATGTACGTCACACCCGGCCACTAAATCCCACCTCGTTGCTGGCTACAGAGCCTGAACCGGTGACTGCCTTCCCTAGTTTCAGTCCCCACCTGATTCCGGGGGTTTTACCCAGAATATTTTTCGGGGGTTTTCTTCCCACCTCTAAAATGGTAACTGCCTTTCATTGTCTCCTCTCTACAGGTGTGGGCTATTTTGTGGCTGTCTAAGGTGCCCTTTTATGGCTTTAGTTTGGCCACACTGTAGTTCAGTGTCTGCATTGTACGGCATGTTTTATAAAAATTGTTATAATTGTATGAAATTTGCACTTCATAAACAAATGAATTATTGTTACAGCCTGCATGACATCAAAGCAGTAGTGCCCTCAGTTATCCAGGAAAGTGTTTAAGAAACTTGTGCACATTTCAGTGTATTTAACCTCCAAGGGATGTCATTGATAGTTTTTAATAAATAACACCAAGGATTCCTCAAAAGTACCCTGGGCACTGAAGCTTGCAAGCCTGACAAAACCAGTAGATAGGAGACAGTAAGGAGCAGTTACAGTTTTAAGGGGTGGGAGGAAAACCCTAGGGGAATATTCTGGGTAAAACCCAGGTAGGGACTGAAAAACCCAATCCACATGTGGACCAGGCCGGGATTCGAACCCGAACCACAGAGGTGAACGGCAAGGAAAGAAGAATTATGCCAACCTGACTCCCCATGAGTATACATGTAAAGCTGAGGAGAAATTGTGTCCAAGAAAGAAATTCATTGCTGCTACACTTTAAAATATCATAAACCCAAAATCAAGGCAGTTGACTTGATAATTGTGATATACCATTAATTGTCTTGATTTTTTGCAATACTCTCATCTGAAATGTCTTGAATTAAGTGTAAACTATGAGTGTCTTAGTCTGGGGATTGTATATTTGGGGACTCCAAGGGAGACCTACATTTTAACTTTTGGAATCATTTTGGTAGATGACTGTGGCATCATGCTCAATATTAACCGAAGGTTAATTAAGAACTTATGGATTGGATGTACACATAGAATCGCCATGACAAATTTTAGCTGCTGACACAAAAATGAAAGGACTTCAACACCTTGTTGTAAAACATGTACGTGCATGCCAGTTCACTGTTCCCACCATAATCAGCTGTAGTGGTGAAACAGCACGGGTACCAATGATTGAGAGCAGGTTGGTGAGACATCCCTGCATTTAGGGACTCGTGTATGATATCACAATGTGCTGTGCACAAGGAATATGCCAGTAATTTCTATTGACCGGTCCCATTATCATTCTGGGGCAGAGAGATGCATAACAATATTGATTCTGACTGCCTGGTCAAGGCAGTTTTCTTCAGGCTTCAGACAGTATGCTGTGTAATGTCACATTGCTTTTTGTGTTTCCCTTCCACCAGGGTTCTCGTTTGGCCGTTCAACTTCTTTACTTTTAAATTGCGAAAAGAGACAAACAGGCGTTCCCCTTTTGTTTGAGACTTGGAGAAAATCATATGGCCCATCAGGGTTATCTGCGTAAGTACCTTCAGCCCACATAAAAGAAAATAATCAGGACTGCTGAGAAATGGGGGGGGGGGGTGGGGGAGAAAGGAGAGTAAATCGATTAACACCCAGAAAGAAAATACATATCTCAGGTCTTTAATATTCAGATTGTCTTTGCACGTGCATGTACCTGCCAATAGAGGGCACTGTAGTGCACTAGAACATGGTATGACAAACATGTGAGGGCCGTAAACTATGGTCAGTGTGTACGGCAGTCATTTGGTATGGCATATTGTTCTGTACCATTTGTTTAGAGTTTTTCCTTATTTATTAGTGTAAAAACCATGTGATGAATAAATGTACTGTGTAGAAATCATTTGAAAGAAATCCACCTGGGCAAGAAATGAAAATTGATCAAGGAACCTGCCAATACTGGCTGGTTGGCACTGCTGTAATGGTACCAATTTTGTTGATTCTGAATTAAACATGCGCTATCCAGCACTTTAAAGTGTAATGGTTTCACAAGGCTGTCCAATGCTTGTTCTCTGTGGATATTCTTTGAAATCATGTTTTGTATGTATGGGACAGCTCCTAGTGCCCCACCTTCACAGGGCTATGGTGCACCTCCACCACAGCAAGGCTATGGGGCACCTCCACCACAACAAGGCTACGGGGCACCTCCACCACAGCAAGGCTATGGTGCACCTCCACCACAGCAAGGCTATGGTGCACCTCCACCACAGCAAGGCTATGGTGCACCTCCACCACAGCAAGGCTATGGTGGACCTCCACCACAGCAAGGCTATGGTGCACCTCCACCACAGCAAGGCCCCGGGGCACCTCCACCACAGCAAGGCTATGGGGCACCTCCACCACAGCAAGGCTATGGGGCACCTCCACCACAGCAAGGCTACGGTGCACCTCTACCACAGCAAGGCCCCGGGGCACCTCCACCACAGCAACGCTATGGGGCACCTCCACCACAGCAAGGCTATGGGGCACCTCCACCACAGCAGGGGTTTCCACAGCAACCTCCTCCAGGTATATTTTATTTATGCGAAGGACAAGTTTTCATTTTTTTGGTGTAATTTTTCAACAAAGTCTTTGAACACCGCAGGAACCCCAGATTATGAGACTTTAGGGTCAATGTTTTCACATTCCTACAGTCTGTCTGTTTCTGTTACAGAGCAAATTCTATGTTTGGAAACCAATGTCTTTGCTTATTACCAGCCTAGAAAATCTGAAGTAATGTCTTGGAGTTTTTGACTAAATACTTTTTGATATTACAAAGGTGCCACCAACCTGGAGGGCATTAAGATTGACACTGAGGGCGATGGAGGGAACCCAGATGTGAATTCATTGCAGTCTGTGCGAGGGTATGAGACTGTGGCATTCAGTGATGGTAAGAGCCACCTCATTGGATTTAAGCCAGGCCATATGAATATCCCAGGTTATCAAATGCCCAATAGTTTCAATCAATCCAGCTACAGTCTACGTTGCTTGGGCATTTTAGACCTGACTTATTTTTGTCTTTCAAGGTGCTGTCAAAATGAAACTTTTGGGTAACTTGTTTTTTTTTCTAGGGCCACCTCTGCCACCCCCTGCAGTTGAACCGCCATCAGGAGACCGTCCCACCGAAGTTTTTGAATCGTAAGTAAAACAATGAAGCTGTATTCAATATGTTGCATTCAAATAGAGTGCTGTCTTTTCTTTCCTCATTCCAGCAAAAAAAGCTCAAAAAGCTGTCGTTGCATTTTAAAGGATCTTGGAGGATTAGGTCTATAGATGCATGAGTGTCAATGGTAGGAACAAAAAAAACGAAAGTCATCACCGGGTTTGCTCTCTCTTTTCCCATCAACAATATGCAGCATGGGCTGTTTAATAGTAGTGTCATGTTTATCTTGTGCAAGGACTCAATGTCACTGAGCATTTTCAGGGTTATTTCCTAAAGATCATATGAGCCATTAAAGATTGACGTGGAGTTTCTCTGTACGTTGAACAATTGTTGGTCTGCCAGGGACAGATCTAGTTTTCAGGAAATAGTTGGAAAGAGGGTTGGCATGTAAGTTTTTTCCCATGCCTGTGCTGACTGCAGTTATCCTTCCTATGGGACCTTCCTGTGCCCTGTGATGAATGTTATGAAGCTGTCCCCTGCATTCCTGAGCAAGTTCAGAATATATTTCAGAACTTTGAGCAAGTTTTTGTGTTCTTTCCTAAAAACCCTACACTCCCCTCCCCCCAATCCGATTCTGCTTTCTGTTGTGTGGGGCATCATGCGATGCATTGTGTAAACACTAAATGGCAACAACAGGGCCCATTGTAACAGCACTGCCGAGCATTGAAATTTTATGCTAACAGGACTCTGTGTTTTCAAGATGTATTTTTGCATTGGGGAGATGTTAATTTATATAACGGGTTTTGCCCTTACCCAAGGTATATATTGATAAACACTGTATGCTCAGTGTTTGTCCAAGAGCTTGCGAAAAAATTCACAAGCTTACTCGGGTGGGACTCGAACCAACTGGAACCAGACTCGGGCCGGCCAGCCGACCCGGCAAGCTCGGTGATCAAGTGGTTAAGACATCTGCACTAGTAAGCAGGAGGTCATGGGTTCGAGTTCCACCCGAGTAAGCTTGTGAATTTTTTTGCAGTGCACAGAATGTTTTTTCAATCTGATGGATATACTGTTTGCATTGTAGAAATGAAGGCATCGGGGAAGAGGTTGTGAGGGCAGCCATCTTGGACCATGTTGGCAAGCACTGCTGCTACGGCTCCGGACCTGCCAAGAATATGACCATCTCCAAGATCATACCAACCCACGCGCTCCACGTAAGTTGGCATCTCTACCACTACCTGAGTTTCGTGGGATGTTGGACATCCCTTCCGAATAAAAGCACCCTCTCACCAGTCTTTTGACTGGGCTTTGCATGTGTTCGGCGCAAACTTGAAAACCGTACTTTTCAACAGAAGTAGGGTGCCGTGTGCTCAGAGTACCCTGCACCAGGCATGCTTGAACCTTTGTGCACAATCAGTGAGTTCTCAGATGAAAGGGATGCCTCTGCTATGTCAAAAGTACCATCTCCTCTTGGTGGAGACGGCACAGAGCAAGAGGCAGCGTGAGGGAGTTTAATCTGTTTAAGTAAAGAAAGTAATTTGGAGAGGTTTTAGTTGAGAAGTGTGTGCTCTGCAGGAAATGTGCTTCACGATTGACATTGGAAAACTTGGAATATTGCTGTTCGTGAATGACTATCATGTTTGTACAGTCAATCCTAGTACATTCATGTATATCTACTTTCCTACATACTTCCCAGCTAGAATAATGTACGGCACGTTTCCCAAACTGTTGGTGGTCTAGGTAGAAACGTGTCAGACTTGCTTACTGTTTTTGCCGGATTTGTCATTCGCAGTACCAGCTGGAAACTTTCAATGAGGAGAGGTCCACCAGTCGTAAGTTCAAGCCTTACTCTGGTGGTTTTGTGGACGGCCCTGAGAACGGTTCAGCACCGCCTCCATGGTCCGTAGTATGCCAGCCGGACGAGATGTTCTCAACTCACAAGAAGAAGTTAGAGGTCCCGCACACTTCTGTCGTCACTGTGAGTCAGAACCCCAAAAGGGTCAATTTGGTAAAATTTGGATGTCCTGTTTTCGAGAAATGCTACATTTCTGATTTGGGTTGACTAACAGTTTTAAAAGTTCCATTAACTGTATACAAATATGCTGGGTCAGGGAGGACAACGTATAGATTTTATGACAAGATATGCTGTTACCGACTGCTTCAAGTAGTGTAGTGAAACTGGCTTCCCGTGTTCACCTCAGGAAAATATAACCCTCCATGGATCATTCGGGGAGTCTAGTTTAACTACACCATGAGACAAAGCGGTCAATATTTGTTTTACAGTATCTTGCTCATAGATTCAGCTTGGTTTAAGCGATTGATTTGATCTAATTTGAATGCGTCTTAAGTTTGATGGAATTGGTCTTGGTATCATGTTGAAGCATTAAAATTACTTGTGGCATTTTATGTACATCTATAAAAGCAAGTCTGGTCCGAGCCAATTTGGCTCATCAGGCCGTTGTTTATTTGGCATGAAACGATTGAGAATGTTTCTATTCCCCCCCCCCCCCCGGATGGGATGCCAGTCCATTTATACTCCTGGGTGGCGAGAGGCAAGCAGGGGTGAAGTGGCTTGCCAAGGGCCACAACATACTGCCAGCAGCTGGATTTGAACCTCCAACCCTATGATTGAAAGCCACAAACCCTAACCACTTGGCCACATGCTCCCACATCTATATGATGTACATCTATATGCAGTTTTGGAAGATTTTTTAGAGCACAAGTCCAGGCAAGTAGATTTCAGACCTTTGTGCGCACAACTTCTGTCACAAGAATATCCCTTTTTGCTGGTGAGTTTTCAAAACTTCCCCCTCGGCAGAGGATATCCCAGGAACTTTTACATGCAATAAAGGGTCGATCCAATGCCATTGAAATAATTTTTGTTGAAATATGTTGACGATTGAGCCCTAATTGGTAGAACGCCAGTACCATTTTGTGGGTTTCTAACGTATCATATAACATAAGAACCAATGAAACCAGAGAGACTTCAAATCATGGTTTTGTTTGGGTCCTTTTTTTGCCCACAGGTGTGTCATTACTGTGTTGGGCGTGGTGTTGTGACGTGCAGCATCTGCCACGGACAGGGACGTGTAAGCATAAATGTGTGCATATAGTTGCTCGGGAAGCCAGACAACATGAGGGTTTGGGGTTTTTTTTCGCAAAATGTTTAGGAGGCTTATGTTGCAGTTGCATGGGTTGGCAGGCCGACTTTCCTGACTCCTCTGAGCAGGAACAAGAGAGAGTGAGTTTATACATGTCAGCTGTGGTCTTTTGATGAGCATACACTCAGATTCATTCACATTTGGCTGTCCAATAGTCACACGTCCGATACTGTTTGAATGTACAGTCTTCATCTGTGCACCGGGAGTGTGCAGGGGCCCAGTTGAAATATTTCCCACCCGCCTCTCTCTTCTTCACAGATGAGGGGGATATTTCAACTCATGGCATATAAGGTGGCTAATAGTGGGCTAGGGGGTAGACTTGCTGGCAGACTGGATCAAGGTTCTATAAGCCACTGTTGGTAATTAACCACCAGTCAATTTTGCCCAGAGTTGTAAGGATGCATTTTGTAACTAAGCTACAGGGGCAAAAGTGGTCACAAATTGATGTTGGCACTAGATGTTCCAATAGACTTGCAAGCATCTCGTTTGGCAAGCGTGATGTTTAACAGACAGTGGGACTGGTCCTAGACCAAGAGGAAAAGCTTGCTGGAGCATTATACAAGTGAACTTAAATCTCTTTTCCAAATGCAGCACTTCTAAGAACTGGTCCATTTTAGAGAGATCCACATGACTCCAAGAAGAGAGTTACTAATGTGATTCTACTGCAAACCTTTAATATGTCGAATTCACTTTATTGAATTGTTACCGGGCATGAGACGTTGGCCAATGGTAGGTCTGCTGATTGGCATGTACATGCCTAGAGGAACTTGCCTAGGGCTGGGTTGGCAAAATGGCAAAGGAACCCACACTCCTCGTTATACTTTCATGCCTCTGGGCTGGCCAAGAGGTGCAAAGTGGTCCATCATCGACCTCCCGAACAAACACTGATCGACATCTAACAGTGTCCGTGTCGTGTGTTTTAGGATCGTTGCACCTTCTGTCATGGAAGTGGCCATCAGACAGTTTACCGTGACGGTGAATCTCATTCTGACAATTGCACCGTGTGCAGTGGGAGTGGAACGCGCAGGTAGGTAGTGAGAGTGTTTCATACCTTTTGTAAAAAATCTTTGTAAACCTTGAGATCCTGCTGTCAGTTGGTATCATTAAGCTGTTATATTGCACTGCTGCACGGTTGGGTAAACTTCAGTTGCTGGATTTCATTTGACCTGTGCAGCTGCAGTTGTTGCCATATGCAAAAGCTTTGACAAATCAGAAGGGGTGTAAAATTTCTGCAGATGCCCAGAAGAAAAATAATTTGGGTATCCCCAATTTATATTTAAAATACAGTTACACATATTGGTTTTCCCTCAGCAATGAACCGACTGGCAAGTTGCCAGTTGCAGGTGGATCAAAAGGAATTTTCAGGCTTCTGATTTAATTGGACCATCCATTTGTTTTTTCCTATGTCTATACCAATCTGCGAGGGAGGTCACATTTCTTGATTGTTTTTGCAATCCCGTTTCTCAGTTGTAGCCGATGCTGGGGCAGCGGTACGGTCAGGTGCCCCACCTGCACAGGCTACCGACAGCTGCGTCACTTCATCCTTCTGACCATCTCTTAGTAAGTTCCAAGTTTCTGGTTTCCCTTTTCTTTAGGCAAAGGCAATTTACTGGTACCGGCCATCATTTGCAGTCATCCATAAAGTAAGGGACGATATTAGTGTCGAAAATCATTCTTGTTGCAAGATAGTTAAGGGACTAAACTCCATGTGAAATGATTCTCTCTGGTAAGCTGTCATTTGGTAGAAAACAATGATAGAAGGCCATTTCCAACAACGTTTGTGAAGATGCATGTTTGGAAAATTGCCAATAGAAAAGCCTACAAGCATTGCCATGACGCACACACAGTAACTGCAGTTTGTCGGCTCAGTGCATAAAATCTTGTAGCTGCGTTTGACCAAACATGAGAAAGTGTCCCAGATGCTGAATAAGCCTTTCGCAAGTTAAGTCTGATTAAATTCTGGTACACTGAGTTCTTTAAATTCAAGTGAACATAACAATTTGAATTTGCCATGCAAAAGACACTGTTGCTATACCTCGTGATTCGGAGCAAGTTTTTGCTTAGTAACATGAGAGACGCCTTGCATGCATGACTTTGCATGCTGACTTTGTTCTGAAATGCCATTGCTTTTTTCGAAATACCAGACAGGCTCATTTCCAAGGAGAAAGTTTTAATTAAAAACGGGCGGGGGGGGGGTGTTGGTTATACAGTTTGACAAATTCTGATCCAAAGCAAGCAAGTTGACGGTAGTGTGTACTGTGCGGTCCACTATTGGGGACCACCCTATCAACGTTGGTCAAGTATTGGAAGTGATAATTTTATCTTGGCATTGAGGAGATGTACGGAGCATTCTTTGTCCTGGTGTTTAACTGTGAGTTTTGTATTTCTTCTCACTATGGCCCAGTGTCAACAATTTAGAGGACTACATCTTGGAGCACACGGACATGCCAGATGAGCTGATCAGGAAAGTCAGTGGACAGATTGTGTTCCAGCAGACTTTGCCCTATGTAAGTGTTGGGAAGATGCGTCTAAGCAAATCTTAAAGTGGGATCGACAGTTACTGGCAACTATCAGTCACCCATTGTAAAAAAGAAAAATCTAGAACTACACCTTCACATGTCTCATTGAAATTATCATGGAGGTTTTATAATCTTTTTTCTGCTTTTTTTCTTTTTTTATTCCAAAAACATTGAAATCTGATAACTAGTAGCAATTATAGCGAACCAATTACGTGTATTCCTGCGGCTTAGTCTTTTCAAAGTTAGCAAATTTTGTTGAAGGATTAACACAGAAATTTGAAATAAAAATACCAAAGGTTGTTATCTAAAATAGTATACAGTGAGATTTTTCACAATGTTTATAACATGATTGTGATTTTTTGTTAATAGGTGTGGCCTATTTCCCAGTACCCTGTCCAAGAGATTAACCAGAACTCAGCTTGTCTTGTTGAAAGACATCGCTCTGCCTGGCCAAATGCTCGGACTCTGCAACAGGTGAGAATGTTATCTTTAATACCGACCCCAGTTCCACAGTGTGATTCAACAAAGCCCCTTTATATTTTCTCTAAATTGTAATGCACTGGAGTATTGACTCAAAGTGGCTCGACTTCAGATGGACTCATGCAAACAACAATTGATGCGCGGTTCAGGGCTGTTAAGGTGTTATTGGATTTTGATTGACTTAATATTTAACTTTATTTAATAAATATTTGAATTTTAATTGATATATGATTTGACTTATCTTGAAAAACGTTTGACTGACTTTCAGCACACGATTTATTAACTAACTTCAGGGTTTCTCCTGGGGTACTGGTATGTGTGAGGTGGTCAAACAAATGTTGCCAAAATTTTAGTGCCTAAAACAAAAGGGGGTGTTGTCAGAAAGGCCTAAGGTAAATTCTATATAGTCTAATTGTACATTCACTCCAAATTTTCCCTCTAAAAAAATTGATCTCGCATTCTGTGTCTGTCTTGAACGTTCTGAACAATTTGAAACCGATCTATTTCCAAATATCTTAAGTTATTTGGCATTTCCCTTCCATCTGTGTCTATTTTAAGTGTGAGGTGGTGAAATTCAACAGAAAAGCCTGAAGTGGTCACCTGGTCACTAAGATCAGTGAGGCTGACTGCCTCACAGTTGAATGGTCAGGAGAAACCCTGACTGACTCGTGACTAATGTGCCTGTGGTTTGACTTGTGACAACTGTATGACAGACGTATGACTGACAGGATGACAACAGGTGCTGAATCTGTGGCCAGTGTCGCAGGACATGAACAAAGTGCTGAAAAGATTAAAGTGTGCTGTTCTAATTCAAGTTACACCCACATTTCAGTGGCCAGTCCACTTTAAAGTGGTCTGTTTTGAGCCTGAAGTAGTAACAGCTCAGTACGTGTTTGGGCATCAGATTGGTAACTAGATTGTTCACATTTCATTTGCTTACGTTACCCCTGCTGGAGATATATGGTTGCAGATTTGTCTCATCAGTGGAGGTAAGGAGACTACCTTAATCCCCCAAACCCCTGCCTGTAAACCAGTGGCATATTCTTTTGGCTTTAATTGTCAAGGAACCCCAAACTTGAGCTCCATGGAATATTGTAACCGTCGGGCTCTTTTTTCCTTAATCCTGCGACGTCCTCCAAACCCTTCCAGTCGACTTTTAAAGGATCTTGGAGGATTGTAATGAATAGCAGCATTCTAAATTGCTAGAGAATCAGTCGTTGCAACTGTCCATTTCTGTGTTCTGCTTCTTATCCCAGCGTCAGACCCTTAGCTCTGTACCCGTGACTGAGGCCCACTATGACTGGAAAAACATCAGCACCCGCTTCTGGGTTTATGGCTTTGAGCACAAGGTCCACGCCCCGGACTACCCTCACAAGTGTTGCTGGGGGTGCAGCATCCTGTAAAGACAAAAGGTTGGCTACTCTTTCTGAAAGAAATCTCGGGATACGTTTGATCGACCCACCGATACTGCCGTGCAACAAAGAGTCCATGTACAGTTGTGTTATACTTTCAAATGTTGGTTTAATGTGTGTTGAATTCTGTTGTGTGGAATTTACACATTCAACCTGCCACTGGTGTTGAAACTTCAGAGTTCACTCAATTTGGTGTACTTTTTGGGCTAAGACAATGCCTGAACGCTACGGTTTCCAGTCATAGTCTGGAACTTCAGAGTTCTTCACAAGTCTCAGGAGTCTCATGAATCTTGCTTCATGAGTAATCACAAATCTTCATAAGTAGTCACAAATATCCAAGTCTAATTTAAGGTGCAAACTGTTCAGTCATGAACTGTAACAAAAGCATTTCTTGCTATTCACCTGCTGTTAGTAGGGAACCGTCTTGTGAGAGTTCTTGAAGTGTTTTAGCTAAAGCTGTCCAGATACCGTACTAAATTTTGAAGCTGTTTCAATTTGGCGTTAAACAATGCCCTCCGAGGTCAAGTCACCATTTTTTGTTGTGACATAAAACTGATTCAGTGCAACTTTGAAGCGTTCAGACATTGTTTAGCCCAAAAATTACACCGAATTGAGTTCAACAACTGTTTTAAGCAAATTTAGAAAGATCTCAGAACGTGTTCATTGTATGCTTAATTAATAGTGATTCGTCCACCATTTACTTTGTGATCCAACCAGCAACTCGTACGCTTTGCCCTGGACACATTGTATTCTTTGCATATTTTATACGCCGTCTAGCTATGGCTTACGTGTTTGCCACAAACACATCACTGCCATTAGCCAAAGCCATCTAGAGTAAATTACCTAAAATCACCCAATATGTGGGAGCCACTCTCTAGAAAGCAGCCCAAGTTGTATTTGAACTGCGTTTGTTTAATTTTAGTAATTGGTTCAACAAAAATGACACCTAAAATCTTTTTCTCCAGTTTTCTTTGTTAACATGAATTTTGGGTATTTCAATTACTAAAAGCGGACTTATTTGATTCGTTAATCCCATCTTTTCATATGAAGTTTTTTTTTCTTTCGCAACTCACCGTGCAGATTTTGAACTGCTCAAATCGCACTAAAATAATGCTGCAATTTTTGTATTTTTATATTTGATGTCAAAATAATAAAAATCTTCAGTATAAATATTAATTTCCTTGAGAGTAGCAAAGCAAAATGACGTGAGGGATAGGGAACAGCGTTTTGATTCCAGTTAGCTCTTTGTTTGCTTTACAAGTCCTGCTTAATTAGTCAGGGGTTGATCGACGTTTCCTTGTCAGGTCTCGGCATGGCCCCCACAAGCTATTCAGTGCACTGCGACAAAGAAATTGTTTTCGTATGGTCCTTCTTCACATCAGTACTAATGCAAACCTATACATCTATAACCAGGTGCAGTGTAAAATAACTGAAAGGCCTTTGTTGGTATTCTACATGGATGTAGTTTTGAATGATGGCTTCTTGGAGGACCTGTAATGGGGCCCACAGCCTTGTCCAGTGTTTCTTAACAGAAGATGTTGTCTTCTCTAAAACCTGTAATAGAATCCACGTGTGCCATTGCACTGTACTTTAAGAATGCACCTTCAGGAAAATTTTAAGAAATTTACTTTCTTTCTGCAGCGCTAAATGTAATTTTTTTTTCTTGCCAACCTTTTTCGTGCCGTCTATCTGTTTACATAAATATCAGTTAGTGTCCGATTTGCTTCAAAGTTTACCACTTTTTTTGATGCTTGACTTTACACAGAAGATTGTATTTTCATTTATATGGAATGTTTTAGTAATATATTGACTCTTATTTGGTTGTTTTATACAGAATTAGGAATTATTCTTTTGCCATTGCACTGACCACCAGCAGTAGCTTTACCAGCCAATGGTAGGCAAAATACGACTACGGCGTATTCATTTTATTTGAAAGTGTTTATGTACATGTAAGTGATTGATAGTGATGTTTGTCAGACAATTACCATTTTACAAAGTGATACCCAGCTCTTGCTAACATTGGAATGCGCCTGTTCAAGTTTGTTGTGACAAAGGCATCAAAACATTTATAGTGTAAGCTGTGTGGTGCTCCATAAAAACTGACAACTTGATGTCTTTACATCCAATTTCTATGCAGATCATGATGTTCACAAAGGGGGGGGGCCAGGTTTGATCAGCAACCATATGCTGCAGAATGGTTAGATTTCCATCTTTGGCCTTGTAGGAATTTTGTGCACTTGGGGCTATTCTTGCTCATCCCAGCTGTGGTACTCCAAGCCGAAGCCTTGACTTTCAGACATGGTCTTAGCCTCTGGAAATCTACCCCACCATATTGGAATGTCCTTGCGGACAAAATTTGCTTGAAATAGCAAAATGAGAAGGGCTGTATTGACAACAGACTCATGTATGTACATGTACCTCCATGTTTGAAGGTGTTTGGCCTATAGTTTACTCATGAGGCTAGAGCATGTCGTTCATTTCAAATGGCTCCCATTGCCTCAGTCAAGCAACATGTGCAAACAACTGACACTGCACAGGACCTATTTTGTGTTTGACTCTGTGTAATAAAATTCTGCCTGTGGCCCTGATAAAGCTGGGTACCTGCTAAAGAACTGTGACCGAAAATGACACTGAATACTAGACACTGAAATTGCACTGAAATTACTGACTGAAATAACTAAGTACTAAGTACCTGATTGGGAAAATGTGTCAACAGATTCTCATTTATAAAATATTACTAGCGATATTTTTTCAATTTTTTGTATCTGAATGGTATATATATATTTTGAGATGTATTTTTGTATGGATATACCAGTTTTAATTCATTTAGTGCGTGCCCATCGAGTTGAATAGATTTTTGTGTACTTTAAAAACAATGTGTATCATGGAAAGCAAAAATCGATTGAATCCTTTGATTCTCATGAGCCTGAAAGTCTCCTTTTTTCAGTTTTTCATTGTATAATTATGCTAAAAGATTTCAATAAACCTTACCCAGTGAAAAACAGCAGAGGTCATCTTTTATCATGCGCAGAGAAGCGTAATAAATGGATTAACATATCCGGAACTGTATTCATTGAATATATCAGTTGCACTCATACATGTAGAAAGAAGACTTGCTGAAGAGGGATTTTTTTACATCTTTTTGATGCAACAAAGTACTGCCGGGACCACTACTATTGTTGCCATTTAGTAATGACTGGGCCTAGTTTTAGTTAAGTTTCTTAAATTTTAGATGAAATTGTTTTCCTGGAACTATTTCCATTGAACTTGGGAGAGAACTCTGCCATAGGTCACTCATGATAACTTAAAAAAGACTTGTCTTAAGAAGATGAAGGTTTTTTTATTACTCATGTAGTGTGTGTAGAAGTTGGCAGTAGGGGTTTAATTACGCAGCAGGGTAACCATGATAACCCTTACACTCTACTTGCCCAATCTATGATTAATTAGCACTTCCCTCTCTTATAATCTTTGTGACTTCCATTTGTAAGCGTGTTTGCACACCCCACTCTGAGAGAAAACTATTAAGGATCTCTTTGTCTTGTTTTTTCTTTAATTGTAATCCTCCTTTGTTAGGCTTTGTGATTGTGTACATTCCTGCTGATTAATGGGAGGGCTCATGTCCTTGTTTATTCTCGCCATTGCAGTTTTATGTGTCCTTTCAATGATATTTGGATTGTTTTGTATGAATGTCTCTATGCAGAAATGAATAAGTAAAAATAAATCGTACCAAATCATTTTAAATTTCATACCCATTGTTATTGTAATTTTAAAGGAATTTTAGTATTTAAGTACATGTACGATGTTTATTAACAGGGCACTGAACTTCGTACACACAAAGTTGCTAGATTTTGTTATATAGACCCAAGACGGACCCCTAAGCCTTGGCCTCCTAGTCTGCCATGAGTCCAGAACCTATACAGTGGAGCTAGTTATGGACAATACGGGCGATTCACAACGCCGCCAAGAGTTTGCAACGCGTTGGCCAATCACAACGCGCGAAATTTATCGACCCTTTCCAATTGGCAAATGCGTTGCGAACTCTTGGTGGCGCACTATTGTGAAACGGCTGTATTCCAGCTGCAGAGAGGGTGAATTAGGCTGCACCCAAATCTCTTGTCTAGAGCTAGGTTTAGGTCTTCGCTCCATTGGAAATGCGTGGAGACGTGCAGACGATAGACCTAGCAATAGCTCTGGAAGCCTGTTTTGGACACGGCCTCAGATTGTCTCTTGTGGCTACTCCCTGACAGCATGAGTATTGAGGAGAAACCAAAAGTCACCATTGGAAATTAAACCCACTATCTAACTACACGTATGTCAAAAATACCAGTAAACCACTTGACCATTTCCATGATATTGCTTTTCACCCTGCATTTTACGGAAAAAGCAACCATTAAGTTTTACTGCACTTGCTATGTGAAGATTGAGTGTTTTTATGGCATGCAAAGTTAACAGTTTATCATGAAATAGAGATATCTCAATATTGGTAACCCTAACCCCCTAGGGTATACACCCTAGGGGGTTAGGGTTACCAATATTGAGATATCTCTATCTCACCGTTTTATGTTAACTTTGCATTCCAATAAAAACACATAAAAAAAAACCACAAAAAAACACAATCATATTGAAATTGGGGGATTTGGGACTGTTAGGGTTAATTAATTGATAGAGATATCTCTGTTTCACGATTATGTTGTGCACGTCTGGTGTTATGGCGTTCAAAGTTCACATCAATCCCAAATTGAAGACATGCAAAGTTAGCATTTAATCATGAAATAGAGATATCTCTATTAGAAATATATGTGGTCCCTGGACCACATCTCAACCTATCTACCACACCGTCATGCACCATTTTTTTGCACTGGTGGGGACACGTTTTCCTTCGTTTCATTGTCTAACATGAAACATACATGCATATACTCTATGTTATCCCGACTCCTGTGTGATAATGTGTTTTCATTGCTTTCTGGGAAAAACAGTCCACATGCATTCTTCCTGGATGGGATTCCAACCCATGTTCAACCCCACATCCCAGAGCACAATGTCAAGTCTTAACAACTGTCCCACCGATGTACACATTATACGTATGGACTCTTCTGGTATCTGACAACTCGACCAGTGGGACAACTCAAGTTTTCATTCGTATTGCAGAGGGCCACTGTTTTCAATAGTTAGGCGATAGTTTCTGCAGGAATTCATGAAAACAACCGTGATCTTGAAATTTTCCACATCTAAATGATCAAGTACAGAGTTTACTTTTCACTCATTAATGTGAGATAATGCTCCCGCTGTTTTCAAGCTTAATGCATACATGCCATTTTTTTTTCATGGATTATGAATATGTGACCTGCACATTGAGGAGAGCAAACTAAGTTAGCCTGTCTGTTGGACGGACTCCAATAGTTACTCATGTTATGTGGTAGCACCATATCTGCAAGGATATCTTTTGAGTATTAAGTGTGTTGTGAAGAGAATCAGAGGCTACTCAACATACGTTACAGACTGTATGCTCTGTCGGTCGTCAGGAGACTGCAGAGGTTCCAATGATGAAGCAGTTTATATGATGTCTAGAGGCGGTAAGGTGTAGAAAGGATGCCAACTTAGGATCTATTTGTTAATTTATTTAAATCACCAACAGCAGTTTTTAGAGCCGGCGTTTCACCTCACCATCAAACCATGGAGGAGTTGGGCAACATACTCTCGGCACAACATCTGTGATAGCTGCATCAATAAAATCATTAAAAAGGGAAGCTGCTTCTTCACAGTTGCTTCTAATAAGCACCATGGGATGTATTGTAAGGTCATCTGAAGATCACATGCATCTGCTTTACGGAAATTAAATCTATGTACATGTATAACCAATTAAGGGGAGATATTCAAGCAGAACAAGGAATATAATAGCAGATTAGTGAGGTGTGACAGTCTGAATGAGGGGAGCGTGGGATGGGTGAAGGTTGCCAAGGGTATAGGAGACCCATAGGCAGGGGACTTGTCCAATAGGGTATAGGAGACCCATTGGACTGGGATGTGAGGATCAAGGATGAGAAGCTGCTGTCAATGTTGAAACTGATGTCTTGCGGTAGGCCTACAAAGATGGCTTAGAACTCTGATGCAGTGAAGGTACCAGTGTTCAGTGCTGGTAATGAGTTTAGCTTGGCTCCATTTACCGCCAGCTCAAAAGTGATTGTTTCATGGTGCTACCGCAAACCCTTTTACCAAATGAGATGGCGTTTGTCCAATAGTATCTTATTTTTATTTATTGTTCGTTGTTTATCGGCCACCATAGTCTGGTCTCTGACGCACTGAATATATTACAATGCGCTCTCAACTCTGAGAGCCAGACTAGAAAGCACGTTACGCGTGGACTAGTGGACCTTGTTGTTACTGTAGTGTTAGAGAAGGATTTTTCCATGTTTCTTCTCTTTCTTTTGTGAATAAAGTGAAAATCTACGTTTTAGGCTTTTCGTTATACAGGCAGAGACGTTGACAGTTTCATGGCAGAAGCTGAGCAAGGTGAGATATGTTTGGACGAAAAAGAGTAAAAGACTCTCACTCAAGTTGGTCGGTTTGCATGTTTTCCTTCCTCAGTTCCTGCAATCTTGTGCACGGCCGGGGATTCCCGGAATTGGCTAGTCCGAGTAACTTGGAACCCACAAATCGCGTTTTTTTTTCATTTGGATATGGTCGGGTGATTGTCTTTTTTTAAATCTCCATGGTCCAAGTACCATCCATAGGCTTTTTCTTCCATTAATTCATTTCACTCAATAGCACACAGGCCTACATGTAATGATGTAGGCAGGGAATCAAAATCTTCCGAATTAATCTCCCAAATGGGCCTTAACTGTCTGATGTACATGTACCTAGCCCAGGTTGGGCGACGTCTACATTGCATTGCGACTAACATCCAGGGTATGAAAGTCCTACTATGCGGAATTTTTCTCAACAATGTGTTGTTCACGGGCGTATTTAGTTATTTCAACACAGCATTTATGGAATTTAGGATACAAGGCACTTGTGAAAAACATTTTGAGCTGTCTTTGTCAGGTAAAAATGTGAGAAAAAACTGTTGAAAACAATTTCGCATAGTATTGGTATTACAAAAATTTTATTCGACTTGACACAACACTTTGCAGACACATTTAATACAAACAGGTGGAACACACACAAAGAAAAAACAATCATTGGGAAAAACTGAGATAATGCAGGAAACATTTTCAAAATAACAAATTTTCAAATGTAAGAGGAAAAAAATCACCCTTAATTGTCTTCTCTTCAGGGCATCAGTCACTCAATGCTGGAAACGAACGTGATTGGTCAATATGGGATGAATGAGCTACAAGTGGTGATTCTGATTGACCAATATTAGCTCATCAATATTCACGATCTCAGTTCAGACATGGTCCATGACAAAAACTGGTGTTCGTAAAGGGATTCCATAAATTTTTACTTTTTTCTGGTAAGCCTTAAAATTTGAAGTCTTTGAATATCTCTAAATCCCAAATCTACAGTGTCACAATGAGAGCGAAGAGGATGGCTTGAATTTGATTGTGTGTGATAAAAATGGAAGTAGATAAACATTTTAGGACACTTTTCTCATAGGGTTTTGCATAAAATGCATTTCTTGTTTGTCATCCAAACCCATGATACACTGCAAACATCAGAAAGGTTTATTGGATCTAATATCATGTGATCCTGGATTTATGTTCACTTTCGCTTTCATGCTTAATATGAAACGGCCTTCAAATTAACACAAATGTGCATTTCACATGATGTGAGTAGAAGGGAATGCTTTATGGGACAGAGTAGCCAGTGCTTCATGTATTTGGGCATAAGCCAATCACAGTTTGACGTACATGTACATGTGCTGTAAGCATCCCTAACAACCTTCAACTTTTGACTGTCAGTAGCCAGAATGATTTTTCACATGCCCTTGAGGATTAGGGACAGTACCGGTACATGTACATGCAGGTAATCTGATTTGTTAACAACAGTGAGTATATACATGTACATGTATTTTGCAGACAGTTTGCCAGGACCAGTATTTGGCACCCAGTGTATGATTTTTCTCTGAATGGTGCCTCGTGGCAAAAACAAAAAAGAACATGTAATACATTATACTACAGTGTAATGTACATGTGTTTGTACATTGGACATGTACTTGTAAGCAAGATGTTGACTGTGAAGCTACATGTAAGATGCTAAGGCTCCCTGGATGCAAGCATTTTTGGGCCACATGTTATTCTGACTTTTGCCTCTTGTACAGTGTAAGTTGCTTTGACTGTTACATGTAGGAACATTTGGCTTAGTGGTTAAGGTTTTTGAGTCCTGATTATAAGGTCAGCGGTTCAAAGCCAGCATCTGGTATGCAGTGATCTTGGACAGATCTCTTTACCCCACTTGCCTACATGTATCTCCAACCGCAAGCAGGAAAACAATTTAAAGCTTGAAAACTGTGCCAATGCACGGCGGAAGTTTGCTACTTGTGCAACCAATTGTGGTGTAACGTACATGTACGCAATTGTCTGAATTCAGCACATCCATAAAGTGAACACAAGACGGGGCATTACTGCGCACATACATGTACATTTTGGGGGGGTCACAGTTTGGGTTCGTTTGGCTACAATCCGAAGATCAAAGCATGGCGGATGGATGAGACCGTTACAATACTGGTATCTAACGGTTGTACCTTGCAGTGCTTGTTCTAAACTTTGCATCAAATTTTACTTCACTGTCTTTCCATCGGTTCATCACTTTTTCACAGTGCATCTCATTCAAGTATTTTCTAGCTATAACCTTGCTGTGTTGATTCTCCATGACTTTGACATTTACCACCGTTACAAAGCACAAGTTTCGTTCATGTAGCTTTGTGGTCTAACAGATGTACATGTATGTAGTTAAGTAGCCAATCATGTAACAATTTAGGGACCTACAGTAACATGTACGCCATGCACTACAATGTACATATTCACAATGGTTCAAAGCCTAGACCAGCACACTAGAACTACTGACGAATGCTTCCATATGTGTAACATCAGCATGATGAATTACTCTTGTCATAAGAATGTTAATGGCTGATGTGATGGTTTCCACCTCTTGGGATGCACAATCTCGTCAATTTCATTATTGATTAGGCCCCAGAAATAATTGTGTTTGTAGTAATGCCCTGCAATATTATCCCGGTAGGATCTCCCGGTGGAGATTTTTAGCTAGGCAAAAAATATGTCTTCTGCAACAGTGATCCTGTGATGGTTTTTATACTTCAGGGTACTGTACCGGTAAGTGTTGAGTTTATTATTATTAGTATATGTGTAAAAACCTACCAGTAGTTAACAGATTGTAGTTCTACATTTTCCATTTTCATTATTTATACCAGAATGTGTACCACACTCAAACATATTTTGCCAAATGTGGCTGTAGAAAATTTGACGTTGGCCGTTTAACTAAAAAACAAACCCCCCCAAAAAGCTTAGTTGACTAGGTTATCCGTACCACAAAACTGTCTTACATGTATGGTACCACTTACAAAAGTCATCCAGATGCTGTGCCGGTACATGTACATGTAGGCTTAGTTTTGATTGCAATATAAAGGTCATCTGAGGTCAGATGTCTTCCACAGTCATGTTGATTTAGCTTCCTGTCCCAACCCACACGCTGCAAACAACCATATGTACAGTATTCCGGTGTGAGTGTGTGTATGTGTGAAGAAGCCTGTATGGTCAAACATTGAGAGCTGCACCATTTGGTTGTCAAGGTCGTTTATATGTTTGCTCTGTTCCCAGGATTATTTGGAAGAGCGTCCCTGTCATAAAAGCTGGATCTGCTGGAAGTACTTCAGAGCAGCTCTCAACATCCCTTTTTTATAACTTAAGTGTGTTTGCAGGATCCAAAGTCAACCAGCGTGCCCTGCAGTATTGGTTGATAACCATTTTGTATCTGTAACGGCGTTGGATGATTTTTGCGAGAGAGAGAGAGGAGAGGGGTTTAGTCTTTAACGTGAACATGTAAGTTTATTTCGAGGAGTAAGTTTGGTGAGATGATTGATAGGTACGTACATACCGGTACATGTTGCTTCTGGTTTAACCTTCTGTACAGATTATTATACTGTGCTGTAAGTATAGACTCCCACCCCAGCAACCAAGAGGCTTCTCGTTGTTTGTCTCTAGACCAAGGCAGAACAAGGAGCCTGGTACATGTGCTGTAGTTCTAGGGATGCATATACATGTACATGACCATGTACCATACATGCACATGTACATGTAGGTAGTATTCGTTATACATGTACAGGTACATGTACACTCAACATGTGCACATGTACTGTTTGAACTAATGGGCATCTGACCAGACAATTTGTTCATGTACATGTACAAACATGTACGGCATGTCAAAGTACAAATTTACATGTACATGTATAACACATAAAGATGTACTATACGCACCCACACGTACATGTACATGTACTTGTACATTACATGTACAGTACATAGCCATCTGATTTGTATACATGTTGTATACTGCACTTCAATTAAGTTTTATTACTCTATAAAGGTCAGCCTACCAGTACATGTGCACCTTTACAGTACACATTGATCAAACAGCCCCTGTCAAATTACAGTACTTGGAGAAAACAGCTTGCAAGCGCATCTACATACATGTACATGTACATAATAGGTAATTCTCCAGGCAACACCGATCATGTATTACATGTACATGTACGTAATTGGTAATTCTTCAGGCAACACCGATCATGTATTACATGTACGTACATGTACATATACGTAATTGGTAATTCTCCAGGCAACACGGATCATGTATTACATGTACATACATGTACATACATGTACATGTACGTAATTGGTAATTCTCCAGGCGACACCGATCATGTATTACATGTACATAGATGTACATTGGTAATTCTTTAGACAACACGATCATGTATTACATGTACATAGATGTACATTGGTAATTAATTCTTCAGACAACACGATCATGTATTACATGTACATAGATGTACATTGGTAATTCTTCAGACAACACGATCATGTATTACATGTACATACATGTACATGTGCACTGTAGTAATGTAAGGATGAGAGGAATTTCTTCTCATAAAATGTAGTGTTCTGTTGGTCTTGCGTTAAATGATGACATACATGTAGCAAATCTTTTGACAGTATCAGTATCCTAAAACAAAATCAAGTAATTAAAATTAATTACCTTGAGGCAAGTCAGTCATATTGGAAGTACACTGTTAATCAGCAGATCTAGAAAGTGAAATTTCAGCTTGTATCAGTACGTTAGAAAAGGAACGGTAGTAGGAAGTCAGAAGTGAGACACGTTCTGGTATGGACAAAAACTGGAAGTGTGAAGCCTTGGAAGTTTGAAATTTAATTCCATGCAGTACACTTGACTTGTGCACGTACAGTACAGTACATGAACTTACAAGGTTGGTTGCATTAATTTATCATGTTGTATTCAATAATAGTGGTGCAACACTCTTTAGGAACAACAGAAAGGTAAGCAGGTTAGGTAAGAAGGAAAAAAAAGAAATTGGGTTTTGGAAGTGGTCCTTGACCGCAAACAAGGGTATTACCCGGATGAGCAACTTTGTAAAGGCTTCCAACCAAGCTTCATAAATTGCATTCTTACGGTTTTGTGTTCCTGAAAATCAGCGTGAACAGAGTCAAACAAAGACCCGCTGGGAAACTTTAAAATGAGACCAAACCAAACGGGTTCTCAGTGGAAATTAACTTTGAAAATAAAAAATGGAATTGGGAAACGGGACTGATGTTCGTTGAACTTGAGAATCTACAGGTATCCCACTTGTAGTGCATGTTGGATGCACATGTGCATGTACGGTACATGTACTTATGCTGTTTTGGTCTAAAATAAGGAGTCAAATGGTAAGTTTTGTACATGTACATACTGCATGCTGAGCTGTCATGTGCTTGTAGTCATCACTGTAAAGTGGTTTAAACTTTCTGTCGCTAACATGAAGTCAATATAATGCTGTCATGTGCTTGTAGTCATTACTGTAAAGTGGTTTAAACTTTCTGTCGCTAACATGAAGTCAATATAATGCTGTCATGTGCTTGTAGTCATTACTGTAAAGTGGTTTAAACTTTCTGTCGCTAACATGAAGTCAATATAATGGAAGAAGCAGATAGCAGTGTTGGAAAGTGATTTGGATGTGAAAAGTGCTGCAGCTACCGTACAATGTAATTGACAAGAAAAAATGGACTGTAATTGTTGCCTACGGTAAATACATTTATGATTTACCAGTACATGTACCGGTAGTTGTGGGAGCAGATCACAGAAACTTGCAATCCGAACTACAAATGTACCAAATGTTCACTAGTTGACTAGAGTTGCTGCTACTGGCCTGCGCTTCAGTTCAGTGCCTGAATTAGAAACAAACTATCACCTTGCAGAGAATGTACATGTTTTGCTGCTTTGCATGTTTTGATGTGATTCATCCATTTCCTGGTTTAATGTTCCAGTTTTTACATGTACTTGGTCTGTTGTTTGATTCCATGCATGGATGCTGATGTGTTTACTGTAATGTATAAATAGTCTTATCCCAAACGAATAGGAGCACGATTCATTCATTCATGCACCTGCCAATTTGAATGAGTTACAGCCTGTGGTCTGTGGTGGAGAATCTAAAAATAGACTACCCTGCACAGTGAGCTTTCACTAGCACACATGTACATGTATATACGGGCCTAAAAGTGTTGGGCATTGAATGGGCTGATAACTGGCACAGTTTGTTCTGATTGCAGACGATAACTGTGCGCAGCCATGACAACAGGCTAGGTGGGTTGAAGTATCTGCAGCATGTGAAACGAGCAAGTGGGAGGCTTTGAGAATGCACACATGCACTCCAAACCTGATGGTGTGAATGTGCACTGCAGGGAACACTTCATCTCCCTGTTTGAATCGTTCTCCCTGGCACGCCATAAGTACGCCTCTGCTTGTACACTCGGATGGACATCTGTTGTTAATTGCACAGGGAAATGCAGTGTTTCTACCATAATATTCCACTTGAAAAGTGAGGCCAGCTGCATCATTATTAGGCCCCAGTCATCGTAGCTGACATTATCACAGAGTTCACGGCTGGCATCATGTTCCTCTCCATTGCATTACTTATGGACGATTCAACTGGCATCAGTTTATATACAGGAACCTCTTGAGATTCTAGTTTAAAAATTTGGGGAGCTACGTCATGTACAGTGTACATGTACGTGCATGTTACGTGAAGTTTTAGAAGCACACTTTGGACTTGTGTGTTGGGCATAAATTTGAAGACTTGGAAATATACATGTATGTATGACCAACACTAGTGGAAATGTCTTCTAGTTGAACTTTTGCACTGAGAAGACGTGCAAATGTGTTTGTGGTGTTTGGATTGAGTAGAAAGTGTCCCTCCTTATTCCAAGAAAAAAATCATGTTAGAAAAAAGAGGTTTTTAATGGATCACTCAAAATTCTTCAAAATACCGCTAAGTTTATTCTCTAAGTGCAAGAACTTTTTCCCCTGGAAAAATTGGTGTTTCTGTTACTGAACATCAGTGGATGTACGCGTTTTACCTGCCTTCCTGTTTGTCTCTGGATCTACAGTCGACTCTCGCTTTAACAAAGTTGCCAGAACCAGACAAATTACGTTGTAATAACCAAGACTTTGTTATAAAAGGAGTGAAAAAGCAGAGCAAAACATAACAATTCAAGAAATTGAGATTCTTGAAGTCTGTTCTTTATAACAGTATTTTGTTATAACACTGTTCTTCCTAATGAGAGTTGACTGTACATGTACATCACGCACCTGTACATAAAGAAGCATACCAGTATGACCAGTTTACATTTAACTGAGTTAGTAAGCCAAAAATCTTGCTTAACCAGGTGAACTTGCTTCAGTGTAAGTTGAGAATCAGTCACAAGCATTGCATTTCATCTGCTTACCCACTATTTCCTCACAGCTCCTTCTGGAACTACTGGAAAGAGTTGCATTCACCTTACAGTGTGTGGATTACATTTAGATTGTACTGGTACATGTACTTTGCAGGAAACAGCTAACAAGCTAAAAATCTGAATTTGGAGTGAATTTTAACCTACAGGTGTTAACATACACAAGACTTATTGTTTTCACTGGTTTGTTGTCTTCCACTGTAGTAACAGTCAAGGTTGAGTCGGACCCTGACATGAAGGAGAACATCAACACCATGCAGGTAGCAGAAGACAACCCCGGGATGGAGGAAAAGGCTAACCAGAATGGGGAGGAGCTGAAGGGGATTAAAAGGGGTCTCCCAGACACCGACGAAGAGATGATGGATGTCAGCACCTTACTGCAGAAGGGAAAAAGCAAGAGGAAGAAGTCGAAACGGGCTCGGGGGCCGCCCATGCCTAAGAACGCCCTCATGCAGCTGAACGAGATCAAGCCAGGCCTGGTCTTCAAACTGGTCACGCAGGAGGGGCCAGTGCACGCCCCCAGCTTCACCGTGGAAGTGGAGGTCAATGGACAGACATACCAAGGCGTGGGCCGGTCCAAGAAGCTGGCCAAGATGACCGCTGCAGAGGTGGTCCTTCAGTCCTTTGTGCAACACCGGAACCCATCTGAGGTGCTGAGGGTGGTAGGTCAGCCAGTGTTCAATTCCGATTTCACCTCGGACAGCTTTGAGACCCCCAAAACATTCAGCATGTTCCAGAATGATAAGCCTAACACCCCACCCCCTGCCCCGCCCCCTGGGATGGAATATCCACCGTCCCCCAATGGGAGCCGGATTTTGGCCCCTCCCTCTGGCCAGCTCCCTGCAGACACCACAAAGAATCCCATCATGATGCTGAATGAACTCAAGCAGGGTGTAAAGTTTGAGATGATCTCTGAGTCGGGCCAAAGCCATGCCAAGAACTTCATCATGGCCGTCTCTGTGGATGGGCAGAAATTCCAGGGCTCAGCACGCAGCAAGAAACTGGCAAAGGCTCGGGCAGCCCAGGCTGCCCTGGCAGCACTGTTCAACATTGCGCCAGCCATAGCACCTGGCCTGCAGCCCATACCCAGCGATGGCCTCCAGCTTCACGTCCCCCAGGTGCTGGCCGACCTAGTGCACTCGCTGGTGGAGGGTAAGTTTACGGACCTGACCAGTGGACAGTCCAGCCACATGGCCCGGAGGAAAGTGGCAGCTGGTTTCGTCATGACCAAGGGGGAAGGCATTGAGGATGCCCAGGTCATAAGCATCAGCTCAGGCACCAAGTGCATCAATGGCGAATATATGTCAGATCAGGGCCTGGCTGTCAATGACTCCCACGCCGAGATCGTCTCCCGTCGCTGCCTGCTGAGGTTCCTCTACTCCCAGCTGGAGCTCGTCAGCCAGAACGAGGGGGAGAAGTCCATCTTTGTGCCCAGCTCCTCCGGTAGGGGCTACACACTCCAGGCCGGGATCCAGTTCCACCTATACATCAGCACCTCACCCTGCGGAGATGCTCGCATCTTCTCACCCCATGAGGCGACAGGGGAGGACAACCCTGCCACTGACAAGCACCCAAACCGCAAGGCTCGGGGGCAGCTACGCACCAAGATTGAGTCAGGGGAGGGCACTATTCCAGTCAGGTCTGGCCCGGTCATCCAGACGTGGGACGGTGTGCTACAAGGAGAACGGCTCTTAACCATGTCATGTAGTGACAAGCTGGCTCGGTAAGCTCAAACTTTTTTTTTCTCTTGAATGTCCATTTGAATTCCAGACAAGACATAATACATTGAACTTTCCTGTTCCTCAACCCTCATGCTTTAATCTTCTCCTTCCTGTATGGAAAGGAAGGCTTGATCAAAACAATGAAAAACGTCCGACAGCCCCTTGATAGCAAAGGGTAGAAGCTGCCTGTCCACTTACAATAAACGTTTTGGGACTGATACCCTTTGGCATGTTTGGTGATGTCTGAGACCCTATTTCTACTGAACCCGTTATTTTTGAAGAAGGCATAAAAGATTTGTCAATCAGTTTTTAAGATTTAAGTACCGGGTAGATGTTGTACGAGCAAAACTACATGCCCAGTATTGTTTTTGCACGTCCCCAGGATAGGTAGATACATGTTGATGTAGATGGCTAGATGAGAAATTCCTTTCATAACGAGCCTGCCATGCCAATCCAGTTGCCTGTATTAGCCCATCCATCAATACAGACTCACTAAGATTTAATATTTGGATGCCGGGCACCTGAAGAGGGCATTGCTGATGGAAATTGGTTAGTGTCTTATCGCTGGTGCAGGGCTGTGCCGAATAGCCGAATACTTGATCGATTATCGAATATTTGAATATTATTTTTAGAATTTGAATATTTGAATGCAAAATTCATGAAAAGGGGGAATTTTCTTCTGTTATAAATGACAAAATTGCACTGTGGAGGCTTGTGTCATGCAGATTCAAATGTTAGGGGACAGCAATCTTACAATTCAAAAAGCAAATTATTCACCCCTAACAGTCCCAAATCCTCCAATTTAAATATGATTGTACATATTCATACACATGTACTGTACTCTATGGGGGGTTAGGGTTAAAAAAATTTTAAAAGGAATAAAAATTTTCAACAGGGTGAGAAGTATTGTTCGTCGCTTAAATCTAGCTAAATCTTGGCTGGAGTGACATGTACTCCTAGACGTGAGAAGATATTATATGGGTTAGACATGTACATGTACCAGTGTACATGTACATGTACAGTTGTGTATTATTACAACTGATTTTGTGCATGGTTTAATCGTCAACAATCTGAAGGTCGAATTTCGAATTGTGAATTATTCGAATTGACTCAGCCCTACGCTGGTGCCGTATACCGGTACCTGGCCAATATTTGTCCACATTTGTTATAGTGAAAGACATGGCTGGGATTTTCAAGGTCACAGATGTACCGGTACATTTTCAATATGAAATAATCCTAAATTCTAAGTGGAAGTTTTTTTTTAATTTTTGAAAAAATCATTTGACTATTTAGAATAGTTTGTATCACCACAAGCTTGTGGTCGTCGATCCTCAGAACTGTTTGATTTCACAAATTTGCCTTGTATTCAGGACATACACTGTACATGTACATGCACTCACCGGTACAAGTCCAAACATGAAGGTTTACATACCGTACATGTACATGTACACATATATAAACATTCAAATGGAAACATCACGTCAACATAGAGATTTTCGCCATTAAATTGCACACTTGTTACTGGTCATGTGTACATGTACCATGTACATTAGCTGGCACAGTTCATCCGCCACAATGGGGGGGCATAATGTGATTATGCCATGATTTTCCACTAGCTACTGGTATATCGGACTGGGGGATTTCCTCCGAACTTAGCATCCCTGCTTTAAGCCAAATACAAAGATGCAAGGTACAGTACAGGCACCAGATGTACAGGGTACATGTATGTGTACATGCAGTCTTAAGTCCTAGCTTACTGGCCAGTGTACATGTTGGCATGTGTACACATTAATCTTATAAATCTTGAATTTGGGGGAGGGGTTTACATGTTGGAATATCCCTTGGTCGTCCAGAATTTTCCATAGTGGCAGAATATGTTTGTGCATCAGATTTTTAAGAGGTGCCAAGTCATACTTGTACATGTATGTGATTTTGTTTTGTCTCGTCATGCGTCTTTCTCTACTCTTACGATTTAATGTTGAGGGAAGTTAGGGTTACATGTACATGTTCCAACAATTTGATGGCCTCATTGAAGTCAACAGACTCTCCACTCCAGACTGTTTTTGTTATTTTGCACATTACGTATACATGTACATGTTCATACCTGTGTTACAGACTTAATATGATCACGGTGTTCTCCAAGTTCAAAACTTTAAACATGCTGGGAATTGTTCAAAAAAGAAATTACAATGCAGACTAGCGGGATGCAAAAGCATTTGGTGTATTGGCCCAATAAGGAAGCTACCATTGTTTAGACTTAAAATCAGGTACTTTTCTTGGGGTGTACCAGTAAGAGGTAAAAAAATATTCTCCAGTGAAAATTTGAAGCAATTTAATTTTTAAACCTATGCAGACAGCTACATGTACATTATTTACAGACAACTACATGTACATTATTTCAAATAATTTCATCATTAATGTTAAATAAATGAAAATATTTTGAAATGTCTAGTGGACATGTACCGGGTATCGGTAGCACCCAAAGTTGTGAACTTAGGGGCCAGATTTTAGATCTTGACCACCACCGGTACCGCTGGTTGGGGATGAGTCAAGACTTGTTGAGCCTCCAGACTATATTCCCATCCAAGTACATGTACATGTAGGTTGGAGAACACTGGATCATGAATCTAATTGCCTTGTAGTCAATCAGGTTTTATTGGCATTGTTTGTTTCATAACAGAGTTGCAAAGAAATCCTTAAAAAAATATAGTTTTGGGATTCAGTGCGGAAACATGATCACTAGTTTTACATTCATCCCACTTCCATGATTATACCAGTCCATGTACGTGTACGTACGGTACACATGGTACAGGTGCATATGTACATGGGATATGCACATGAAGAATATGTGGGCATGCATGAAGGCTCAACATGCTTGCCAATAATTTCTAAACATTTGCGGGTCACCTGGGACCAAGCATTTTTTCCCCAAATATGTTAATAGAGATGTTTTCGTGATTGACTGTCTCAGGGGGCCTGTCTTGTCTGGCATTTTTCCAAAAGCCGAACTTGTACATGTATATTGCCGCCCAAACCAGAAAATCATGTGAAACATCTGACTGTTCGAAATGTACACGTACATTTGATATACAAGTATGTGTAATATATTGCAAGAGCATTCACAAATGTGCGCCATGTGCATGCAGGTACACCAGCCATGTGACTCAAACAAAAAGGAGAAAAAATTCCCAGCATGTTGTGGGGAAGCTGGTAATCTTGCACAAACATTTATAGTGTTGATCCCTACTGAGATTTACGGGCTGCTGTGCAGTTGCGCATATTTCTCAGTCTTTGAAGTTTAATGTCCCAGTTTTTGGATTACTGTACTCAAGAATTTCCTCATAATTCCATTTTGTTATCCTGACATTTCTTATTTTTAATTTTCTGTCTACCGGTATTTCATGCACGGGCTCGGTTTCCATGTAGAATTACGGGTGCCGGGATGTACTTTTTCCAAGTGGTACATGTACTTACTGGTACAGTTGTGTACCTGATGGTGGAGATGTTTTACAGTTAAGTAATAACATAAGGCCTCTTCCTTTTTGTCCCCGAAGTTCTGTAATATTTTTCTTCCAAATCGGACCAGTATCCACAGAAATCAGTATTGGTACACATGTAGCCTTTTAACCCTCACTACCCCAAATAACCTGCCATACTCCAACAGGAGGTTTTGGCAGGTTTGGTACCTTACCTGATGAACTTGTTGAAATTCGTGAGACTTGGGATGAAAAGCCCAGGGAGATGGTATTGGAATCCATGTGAGTTGGAACACACAGGAGTCATTGTGTGCAGTGTCTGACTTGCTGTACCAATTGTTAGACTACACTTGATTTTGTCAGGTTTGGTACTGTTCAGTGCAAGTCATCCTTTACTGCA